GCATTGCAGTGTTTGACAACATCTATAATTTACCTCGGTTGACCAATTTGAGAGAACTAACGATCTGTTGGTTATCGGATGAATCGAATGTCGCTGATATGGAGCTGTTGGCAAACGGTCTTGTGAAACTTCAACGTCTTTACATTACAGAATACAGTGAAAATTATAAAAGCGTCGACTTCATTTTGCCATTCGTTCGTCGCTCGATGATGTTGAACAAAATTAAAGTCAAATCATTATCACACTTCGAAGGAGCTATGAATTTGAAAATGATGAATGAAGAACGCACCAAGTTGGCCGGAGCACGAAAAGTACTGATTTATGCAACTGACGATATTTTCTTGCCCACCAAATGGACGACCAAAAACGGCGACACCAATTTGAGCTTAATCGAGATTCGACGTTTGGCCTCGAACAAATGGGATGACATTTACTCTTAGTAATTTACTAAGCAAAGATTTTTTAAAATTCTATTCACCATATTTTCAACTAAATTTCAACTCTTTTCCTACCTCTCCATAAATGAACCAGAAGACACTTGAATCTCATAAAATATCGTAAAATTAAGCCATAGTTCTAATAAAAAACTTGATTAGTTTGTTATCGAATTACATTTTTTGTTGAATCATACTTAACGTTAGTTGTTGTAACACAGAGAGAAAAATTTCCATATTTCTTAGTGAATTCTTTAATAAAGTGAACTCAAATCCACCAAAAATCTTTATAGTACTTTTTTTTTCATTGAAAATTTATTAAAATTACATTTGATACTTCAATAGATCTTGGATTCAATCGAGAAGTTCTTTTCTCATACAAAATCTGCAATAAACTACATTCCATAGAATTTTAATTAAATTAGGTATAGATCACAGATCTCTTTACTCAGCTTAATCACTGAACAAACACTCTACATTGGATCTACTGAAAAAGAGAAGGAAATAGCTAAAGTAGAAGTGGAAAAAATTATATTAACCAATTTACATGTGTGAGAACGATATGAATGGATCATTCACTACTTTCTGGGACCTGGAAAAAATTATATTTTGATAACAGACAATCAAAAAGTTGATTCTCAACCGCATTTTAATTGTCGTACAAGATTTTTTATGAAAAATATAAGGATACTAAAGTTGAGTTTGACATTCTGATAATCACACATAGGTTCTCACGCTCCAAGATTGAGAGGTGAGTATAATGGGTGTAATTTTCATAAAACCTCCTAGCAAAATCGGAAAGTTTTAACAACGGCCCGAAACCCCTAGCAAAATGAGAAAAATCGTATTGCTCTTTGTAAAGTTTTGTAACCAATTTTTTCTCAGATTTGTAGGGGGGATCAATTTAAAAGTTTGATGTCTCATAAGGGTAGGTAAAAACCTTCTCGACCCCCTGTGTGAGAACCCATGTAATCACACCACTTCCAGCTACTGCCAAAATAAATCCAGAGTAAGACTGAATGTCATTGATGCCATCAGAATAAATAAGTTAAAGAAATAACGGCGAGGATAAAATATAACCAATATTATAATCTGATCTAGTCTGCGTGCAGCGAGTGTCTACACTGGCCGGATTTGGTGTGCATCTCTTTCTATCTCATTTCTAATTAATTGAAGCAAATTGAATTCGTTCATTCTGCTTTCACTCATTAAGTGGTCATTGCTGGTCACATTTTTGACAGGCGGCAAAATATACGACGAAATTCCATTGTCCATTCTTTTCGTTGATGGCTTTAGTACCAATAAATACACTTATTCAAAGCACAATATACCAATAAATGCTAAAAAATGACAATTGTGTATTTTTCAGAAAAACCTGGAAGCCAAGCTGGGTGTATTAGCCAATATCCGACGCTGAATTTACAGGATGATCCAGATAATTTTTGTTAAATCCTAGTGCGTAATATAATGCAAATAAAAAGTTGTAAAAAATCCACAATAGACCACCGAATTTCAATTGTTCAAGTAATAAAAAAAATATTCATTTATTTAAATCAATTCGTTGAACAAATTATGTGAGAGTGGTTTAAAACAAAGAGAATTTCATTATTTACTGAATAATAAATGGCCTCACAGACTGATCAATGGTCATATACTCTAAATTGTGTCTGCGAGCAGTTCAAACTTATGTACCTAATAATAATTAGCTTAATAGCGTAGAAAAAACACACATATATTCATCTTCCATTGTATCATGTGAATGGCTTGTTCATCTTAATCTTTAGTGAATTTAAAAATTTCTTACATTTTCACCGTTCGCTCGTCCTACTTAATAGTAATATAAACTGTTTGTCAATTAAAACACGACAATGAACAATGATGAATCGATTGGTTAAATATACGGTATGTACATGGGCCGAAAATGATATTGGTCTGATTCTACACAAGAGAAATTGCTGCAATTACAATTTTGATGAGACAAAAAGAAAAACGAAAAATTCACTTAAATCTACTACACAACGCATTTTGATGCAGCATTTTTGATTGGGTTGTATGAATGATTCAGACCCATTCGGCGCTGTGTTATGTTTTCTTTGGATATAAAAGTGGTGTTTTTTCAGCTGCTGATCGACCACTGTCTGGATATGGTTGTGTTGATCGTGTGTGGCTGTGTTGTGTCGGCATTTGTGAACCATCACGATGTGGAAGTTGCCATAAATGTTGCTGTTGCTGACTACTACCGGCAGAAATTCGCATCGACGTACCACTTCGACGCCGACTCTGTCGATGGAACAATTCATGTAGGTACAATGTACTTAAGCACATATCAGCTGATGTAAGATCACTAGAACCCGGTTCATTGCCACCGGTTTGACCGTATAAACTGTGGAACAAGCTACGATCATGCGATGCATTCATTGGACCCTCACGATGTGAGGCGCCTTTTAGCACACTGCTTGACATTGACGACGATGGCATTGACCGATGCTCTGGTGACACCTCAGGCATTGGAGGATTTTCCGCATTTTCATCTTGTTCGTTCTCTTGGATATTCTGTAAATTACTTCGATAGCCCATTGATGCACCGTCGGACAGGTGCTGTTGGAGCATTCGATTGAAATCATAACCACCATGTGATGGCATATCGACATCTGGATGATGTGACGTATGCGTTGATCCACGGAAACCAGGCGAAAATTGGGATAAACCCAAATTGAATGCGTCGTAACGCTGAGGCATCATCAATGAATCGACAATCGATGAGTACTGGAATGGAAACAAAGAGATTTTTTTTAATATTTAATTTTTTTTTCACATAAATTTCAACTCTTACCTGTCCGCCAAGATTTCCCACCGAAAATAAACTTTGTCCCATGGCAGTATTCATGATGCCCGTTTGACGTGCACGATTCAAATCGTGCTGAGCATGTCGTTTTAATCCGTTCATAAAATTATGAGCGTCGGACGGCATCTTCCATTCGGGATTTGTCAGTGTGAAATGAACTAATGACAATTCAGTTTTTCCATGTTCACCTTGTGTGTATTTGTTTGTTTCACAGACTGGCGTTGTAGCACCTTCAGTTAAATCGCCTTCTGTACTGTGCGTTGGTTGCCATTCGGAATTGCCGTGCTTTCGCACATCCATTTGAGCAAATGAGCACACATCACCAACACCGACCACCGAGACCGTGAAATTACGGAAGAAATCTACATAGTCCAGTGCTTTTGGTCGAATGTAGAATAACAATATGAATGGTGTTGTTATCGGGCTCAACAACTCGGAGAGAAGATAAAACACTCGCAATTGGAAAAATTGACCAAAGTGCTCACGCACATGACTGGTATGTGCAAGACCTTTCCAGGCCACCGGCAGATAATGGGTATGCGCCAAAACAGCTGTCATCAATTGTTCCGGACAAAATATCAAATTTTCATCGGGTATCAATACTCTGAAAAACAAAAAGGTCCACGATGATTTTCGTTGGAATTTTTTTTGAAGGGGAATGATTAAATTTTTCTCATTTTACATACCTCGACACAATGGCCAAAAGTGTGAGTAGGGACACCACTTGGAAAATATGCTCGATGTGGGCAATATCCTCGTCAATAAACATGAAAAATATAAAGATCACCGTTGACACACCACCAAATAGAAATGAGAGTTTTCTGTGGAAATAAATTAAATTCAATTTTTTTTAAATCAAAATTATTTATTACACAAAAAAATGTAGACCAAAAGTAGGAAAGGTTCCTGTATTTATTTGCTAAAAAATCAAGAATTTACCTTGCAATAACCGCTCCCATTGGCGATGAAAATGATTCCATGTACTTGACGGCTGGCTTATAAGCTCGATTCAAACGGGCTTGCAACTCATGGTCTAGTTCATTGAAGTGTCGTATGTACAGCATACCATATTGTGACCAACATCGAATACCCAAAACACCTGGATCACGTTTCACCAACTGGAATTTTAATATTTTAAAGCTATTAAAGCTACTTTTTTGTTGTACAAAATGAGTAGAATCAATATATGAAAAAAATTAAATTCAAATAAGTCCGGAATTTGAAGAAATATTATTTCCTGTCTGTTAATTTTTAAAAATGAATAAATAAATGATTTTTGACTTACATCACCGTAGCTAAAAACGCAGAAAATTGTCGCAAATAGAAATATCACCGGTGCAAAGATCAAATTGATGAGACCAGCATAGAAGATGTACTTTGATAGTTGCTGGGATAATTCAGTTCGATTCACCGAACGTTTGTACTGCTCTTTTAGATGCCAATTGTCAAACACTGACCATGGGCTTCCTGTTTGGGAATAAAAATCATTTTTCTCTTGTTAATTTCGGTACTTCATCAACATTTTAATATCAATATTTAATCCATCAGTCAATAGCATTGGTATCTTACGGAAAAATATCAATTCCAAATTGAATCGGAGACTTTTGCTGAAGAAATTTGTTTCACCAGCAAGTGGCAGGTTAACGGTCGTCTGTATTAAATTCTTATTCATCATAGCGACCATATAATTTTTGAATCTATAGGAAGATGACAAGATGTGAATTATTGTAAAATAGCTAGTAATAATTTGAACAAGCTCCCCAAAAATTAATGCCATTCAATTTCAAATGAAATACAACATTTTTGGTATTTGTACCTTAAAATTCGATGATAAATATCCAATTCGGTGAGTTGTTCTTTGTGGATGCACATCTGTTGCTCCATTTGCACCTCACGAATTCGTCGTTGCACTTCATGCCATGTATAATTATCTAATTCATTCTGAAAAAAAATTGAAGCGAACAATTAAAAATTGCTTTTTTGAAATAATAATAAAATTTGACAAGAAAAAAATTAGATGATTTTTTTCAATCATTTTTTTAAATAATAAAAAAATATTTTTTTTTTTTTTCAAAAAATAATTAAATTAAATGAAAATTCATAAATCATTTTTTTTATTTAAAATTATGACAAAAATTCTTTTAAAAGTTCAATTTTGAAAAATTTGGAAAATAAAATAAGAAGTCCTTGTCCAATTGAACAGCAAGAACTACTGTTCACTTGAGACTGTAAAAATTGTTTTGTAAGAAAATAGGTAGTATTCTTGAATGAAATAGTATAGTAAAATTGTATCGTTATCGCAGCACATTACATCGTGAACACTGCCGTTCAAATCGTGAACAATATTGCTTTGAAACGTACTATTAAAATTGTTGGGATTCAAAATGATAATAATCCCAGATAATGGTGAAATAGTAGAGCTATAAAAAGAGTCAATATTGATGTCAGTGAAGCAGTTTAATGTACAAAGATTTGCTGTCACATCATCGCCGGCAAAATGATTTGCCCTGAATATGTCTAAATATCATCCAAATCACGAATCATTCGCCAATTTCGTTTTGTTAAATTTTTACATTTTTGTTTGTTTTGTATGGCACAGTGCAATGTGCATTGGAACTCTTTGCATAACATTCAAATAAATTGAATCGATTCAGAAAAAAAAATAAAATCCTCCCAGTATCAAAATAACGGTAAATAAAGGTATTTTCAAATTTCAATTCATATCATATTAATATGGTTAAATAATTCTAAAAAAAAATCTCCCCTCACACTTACATCGTCAATTTTGAGCGCATTATTAAAGAACTTCTTAATGTCATAGTATTGCACAGCATGATAAAAAAATCGTATTAATCGGAATATCCAGAATAGTCCCGATAAGAAAATAACAAACCATCCGCTGAGCGAAATGGCGCCGATGCAATCGTCACACGGTAAAATTACTTCGTCAATGGTGATTCGGGTGTGGTTTCTGCCGAGAAAACAAAATATGCTCAATGAAAATGTGAAACAAACAATGCAAATAACTTCAAGAATTTTCATATCTCTCCCAGTTATTTATAGCTCCCTTCTTATTTATCGTAGACAAATACACTTTTTTTTGTAAACAAAATTGATTATTTCCAAATCAAAAAAATAATCGGTGCTCACCCATCAAGTACGTTAAAATTGACACAGAACACAACCACAGTGATGAACCATACAACAAATGCAAAAATCACCAGATCCAATATGTAATTGATCATCATGATGTTGAAACCATGCTTTTGATGGTAATAGTACATCCGTGTGAAAAACGAGTCCAAGTCTTCGATGTGGTTCCATCGGGCTGCAAAGAGATGATGCTGTCTCAAACGTGTTTGGAATTGAAAAAGATATAAAAAAAAGTTACCTTTGCTGGTGTCGGGCACAACATGTATCATGATATCACGGTTGCCGTCTTCATTTTCGGTGTCGGTGTTGGTATCTTCGATGCCAACCGATTCGCATGGTGATTGACTAGAGTTTTCAACGAACGGATTTGATACTTCGGTCAATGCCTGATAATCATTTTTCGCCATTTTTTTATATTCCCCCACTCTTACACACTCTCTCTCTCTCTCGCCAAACAAACCCACAATTTCTTCGACTAGTAACGCATGTGTACTGTTTGTCTTTATTATAATCCGAATAAAGAACGTTTTACTTCCTGTTGAAAAAAAAGCAAAAAAAAAAATACGCACCGATTAAATATATCCATAGTTAATACGTCGCTTGAACTTGAAAAAAACACACAATTGAGACGAACAAAATAGAATCGAAAGAACGAATAAAAATAACAAAACACGCGCTCATATAAAACCGAACGCTTCAACCTTGGCGATCGACACATACACAAACACACATAGATGAGACTTCACTTATTTTTTTCGCTGGCAAAATATCTAATCGATTTTATGCAAAACGAAAGAAAATTGAAAATCTCCAATAAAAAAATATTGTAATAATAAAACAATAAAAAAAGAATTCACAATTTTGTGGCGCACAATGTAGACGATGTGCGAAGAAAAATGAGTTTATTGAATGACAACATAAACAGCTGATACGAATCGAATATGAACATACGTTATGTGTTGTACGTAGCATTTGCAATGTATGCGTGTGCATGTAAGTGAGTGAGTACGATTGTGTCTAACGAGTTAAATGTCATACAAACAAAGAGCAACAGACAAACACTGTGCGCGAATGTATTAAACTCCATACAAAATAAAAACATCAGATAAAAATGAAACGAATTCAGTCTCGATTCTGTGTACATATTTTGTACGAAACGAAGAGTGTCTATTTTTATAGCACCACACAATGCATTCATCGCACAGCTGATTTCTCTTTTCCTCTTTGTCAATCTCTCTATCTCTCTTTCTACGTCGATTTTTTTTCTCGAAAAGTTGTTGTTGTTGGTGGTGCTTCGGTCATTCGTTGCAAACAAAGGATTTAATTTGGCGTTTTGAAAAAAAAACTAATGCGTTCTATCGCTGTTAAATGACTCAACAAAATACACATTCACTACTCAATCACACTGTCGCCCTTCTACACACCAAAACCTTTTTTGATACCTTTTCGATTAGCTGCACTTTATAATCATCTACACTGGAAAGAGGACAATTTTTTTTTTCAATTTATTTCCCTTGAATTCGCGTACAACCTTCACAATTCACTTCAATTTTCAATTGATCGTCATCGAATTTGCCATCGATTTAGCAAATCACACGCAATACGGACGCATTATTTTTGTGTGTCACGACGTTCGTAATACAGATCTTAGCTTTGCTATGAATGAAAACACAATAAATACCACTTCGTTCACTTTACTTTATTTATGTTCTGTGAGCGATTTGACCAGCGTGAAGTTGGCTCACTCGTCTGCTATATATTTTGCGTCTCATTGTTTCATGTTAACCTTTCACTGACGCAGCAGAAAACCTTTTTTCATTATTTTTGATTTCGTATCAAAGAGATTGGGTTTTCTTGAAAAAAGTCGACGTTTAATTTTAAAAATGCAGATTTTTGTGGTTTTTCTCTCAGTTTCCACTTAAAATGCTGTATTTTCTCTGAAAACCCAAGTTCAATGGTGATACACACAGTTGATTCGGGTTAACACTATCCAAACCATCGGTTAGAACGTCATTTCGATTTGACACTTTCTGTCAATGGGCACATTTCACCAGAAAACCAAATGAAAACAATGTGTTTACCACTAAATATGAAAAAATGTTCACGAAAATTGTGAAATACCGACGGAACTTCTTGGAAATTTCGAATTTTCGCAGGAAATTTTCAACAGACACCATAAGCAAGTAACTTGAAAGGTTTTTTTTTTGAAGCAAATTGAAATGCAGGAAATAATTTAATGTTTTTTCTAGGCAACCGGCTGTAGTTTTAGGCATAGAAACATCGTGTGATGACACGGCCTGCGCCATTGTGAACAATAACGGGAAAATTTTGAGTGAAAGCAAATATTCACAGCTTCAATTTCATTTGAGGTATTTCCTTCGATTTTTCGTCAAATTTTCTGCCATTTTCATCTGGTTTGTTCTAATTTTTAGAGCTGGTGGCATAAATCCCATCTTTGCCCAAGAATTACATCGCCTTCACATTGAAGATGTTGTGACGGAAGCATTGGAAGGGGCAAATATGAAAGTGACTGACGTCGATGCAATAGCTGTGACAAATGAACCTGGTGAGCCTGATTCTAAGAAATTCTTGTTTATTGGATTGAAAACGTTTTTTTTTCATCAGGTATAACGCGCTCTCTAATTGTCGGTGTGCGTTATGCAAAGCACTTGGCTCGAAAGTACTCAAAGCCATTAATACCAGTCCATCACATGGAAGCACATGCGCTTACATCCCGCTTAGAAAATCCAGACTTAAAATTTCCCTTCCTATGTTTACTGGCTAGTGGTGGTCATTGTCAATTGGCTCTTGTAAAAAGTGCGACCGAATTTCTTCTCCTTGGCACTTCAATAGATTCGGCTCCTGGTACATGTTTTGATCGAATAGCTCGTGCTCTGAATCTGCAGGCAGTGCCCGAGTACCGAAACGTCAGTGGTGGTCCAGCACTTGAATTGGCCGCTTCTAAATCGTCAAACCCAAATCGATTTCAATTCACATTGCCATTGAGGGATCAACCCAATTGTCAATTCAGTTTTTGCGGTTTTCGTAGTCAGGTCATTCAAACTATCGATGATATTCGAAATCGATTGCATTTACCACGCGATGAAATGATTCCATACTACGAAGACCTCTGTGCATCCGTTTTGAGGATAGTTACAAAACATTTGCTACAACGCACACAGCGGGCTATTCACTATTGTGATCGATTGGGAGCATTTGGTGTGGGAGCCACCAATAAACTTGATAGAACATTCGTTTTTTCGGGCGGAGTGGCATGCAATGACTTTATTTATCGAGCGATGAACGAAATGGTTTCACAATTTGGATTTAAGTCGTATCGAAGCTCGAAGAGATTGTGCACAGATAATGGAGTCATGATTGCGTGGAATGGATTGGAACGGTGGCATGGCAACGAAGAATTTTATAGAAATTTAGACATTGATAGTGTTTTACCAAATAGTTTTACCACATTGGGTAGCGATCACACGGAATTAGTGACGAAAAAACGATTAAAATGTAATTTTGTTAAAGTACCCTCTATGATGTGTGAAGACGAAATAAAATAGTCGATTTTTTTATTTTTTGCACCCAAGCTTTAGAGTTTGGTTAGTATCACTTAAAGATATCAAAATAAAAGCACGTTAATTTTCATTAAACTCAAATGAATTTAAATATATCCAAATTATTGGAATTGTACACATTTATTTATGACCATTCTCATAGCCTGCTTGAGACAGGTACCATTTTAAATTCTATCAATCCATGTCCGGTGATAACCGTTGAGAAGAAATGTTTAAGTTAATTGTCTCCCTCAATAATAAAAGCAAAATCCAAGGAAAACACTGCGACATGACAACTATTGTCAAATGTCTAGTGTTCTATCAACAAATGTCAAATATTTGTCTACTTTCAACTCTCGTCAAATGTCAAATGGCTGATTCATGCGATTTGTCCTCCCTCCGCCACTAAATGTCAATGTAACACTTGTCAGTTCTTTTAACACATGTTTGGAATGCATAAACAAAACAAAGAATGTTGCGGCAATTGTTCAGAAAAATCGACACAAAATTTAATTTTAAGCAATCGACACGGCATTTTTCTAGTCAACTACATGGTTCGGTGATTGAAGCAAAGTTTGTCATTTACTTCCGTCAAACAGTACCTTTTTACCGTCGAGTACTGTTTTTGTTAATTTTATTTTTTTGCTTTTTATTTGCAGACGGCCGGCAATTGTGCTGGGAATAGAAACATCATGCGATGACACAGGATGTGCGGTAGTCGATTCCACTGGTAAAATCCATGGCGAATGTTTGCATTCACAACTTCAATTTCATAATAAGTAAGCTTTTGTTATAGTCTACTCCGCGTACAAGTGGTTTTTTTGAGGTTGGTTTGGAGGTTGATTTGGTTAAAACAAAGAGAAGAAATTCTGTCTTTTTTGAAGCTCGGTAGCCAAGAGTTATTATTGGAGACGTACTATCAAGCTCCTGTCTTGTATTTCACAACATACCAGCGATTTTTGCTCTGAACCACAATGTGATCCTGAATAGGCCAAAGTGATGAAATACTGAACAAGCAAGTTTAAACAGTTCAAAGTTAGAATTCAATCTAAAAACGGCCTCCGTTCTTTATTTCTTATTATGAAAATGGGTAAAAACCCAAAAAAAAACCTCCACTGGAATAACTTTCCATCATTTTTCTTTTGAATTTCAGCTTTTTTATTTACTTTTCCGCACACCAAGTATGGGAAAGGTATTCTTAATTTGTCATTAACCTCCTTTATTGTCTCTCTCCGCAGATGTGGTGGTATCAATCCGCCAATAGCTCAAGAGTTTCATCGTCTGCACATTGAAGATGTTGTGACGGAAGCATTGAAAGGGGCAAATATGAAAGTGACTGACGTCGATGCAATCGCAGTAACGTCACGTCCTGGTATTTTGATGAGCTTACTGATTGGATTGCGATATGCAAAGTATTTGTGTCGAACGTATAGAAAGCCGTTAATACCCGTGCATCACATGGAAGGTAATTTCTCAATCCGTTCCTTAGAAGGCCTAATCTGACCCCTTTTCCTTTTTTTCAGCCCATGCCTTGATGGCACGCCTAAACCACCAAAAATCAATACAATTTCCGTATCTGTGTTTATTGGCTAGTGGTGGTCACTGTTTGTTGGCTCTTGTAAAAAACGTAAACGACTTTCATTTATTGGGCGAAGCCCAGGATGGTTCACCGGGCGAATGCTTCGACAAAATTGCTCGTTCGATCGGTTTGCTAAAGCTCCCTGAGTATGAATCAGTGAGTGGGGGACGTGCAATCGAATTGGAAGCATACAAATCAACCCAAGAAAATCGCTTTGAATTTCCCGAACCCAATCTGAAAACGCGAGATTGTAATTTTAGTTTCTCCGGTTTAAAATCGTCGGGTGTATCAATGTCCGAAAAATTGCAACGAAAACCCGGTGATTTGGTGCCATATCATGAGGATTTTTGTGCTGCAATTTTGAAAGCCGCCACCAAACATTTGATGCGAAAAACCCAACGGACTATTCAGTACTGTGAACGAAAAGGTTTTTTTGGTTTTGGCGCCAGTGCAAAGCCACGATCGCTGGTATTCTCCGGCGGTGTTGCATGCAATGATTACATTTATAATTCGTTGTGCGAAATGGCGACGGAGTTTAATTACACATGTTTTCGTCCATCGAAACGATTGTGCACCGATAATGGTGTAATGATCGCATGGAACGGAGTAGAACGATGGCTGGATAATGATCAATTGTATCGAGAATTGGACATTGATAGCATTACACCGACTCAGAAAGAACCATTCAAAACGGATCTCATCAATGATGTCGAACGAATGGATATAAAATGTTCTTGGGTCAAACTACCAGCAATCGCATCTGTAATAAATAATAAAGAAATAGTAGAATAGCAGGTAGTAAAATAAGATTTAATTTTTGTGATGTTTTTTTTCCTCCGATCTTCTTCATCCAATGGAATGTAATAAAAGTAACAACATGCAAACGAAAGAGTATCTCTGTGTTGTTATTATTTATTTATCCACATATATTTTCAGCTTATATTTTTCTCTCTTTCTCGTTTTATCAGCGGCATGAAATCAATGTAATTTTCTTTCGATGTCGATGTGTGATGCGGTCGTTGCGTTTCTCTGCACCCAATAATTGACTTATTCACCCATACATTTGTGCAAATGAATGCAACGATGTGAAGAACAAACAGGTAAACCTCAACATTTACCGTGTTGCGTGTGAGTGCGGACAATAACGTTTGCGTTTCTTTGTGCGACCCATGTATTTCAATTTCGAACACGATCGCAAAGAAGAAAGAAAAAAACAAATTCTCCGCATCACATTTATGTTTAGTTGGCTGAAAATCGTGAACGATTCAACACGTACGAATTGTTTCTCTTTGAAAAACTTTTTTTTTTTGTTGTTGTTTATTTGTCTGTGGGTCTCCATCGACGCACAGAGAAAAAAAACTCTTTTTTAAAGACAGAGAAGAGCATTGTTGTTGTCATATTTTATTAGGTAAAAATTTGCATTAATTTTGATAAAAAAAACTGGTTGAAATTCCATTCAAGTGAAGTTGGAACGAAAATACCGACATGAGTGAGAGATGATGAAAAAAAGATTCTCAAGCGTTGTGTGTACTACTGTAGTGATCGATGTTGATTGATTTTTTTTCGCTTCTTCTCTTTGGTGTACGCGCAAAACAAGTGCCTTTCTAACTTTATTATTTCGAAATTTAGTGTCGACGACGCATTTTCTAATCATGAAATAGAAAAAAAATAAGTTTTTTGTGCTGATTTTTGGTTTTTATTTATTATTACACAATTTTTCAGTGGTATTTATAGTTAAAGAAGTGAACGGAAGAGAACAGAGAGCGATTTATGATTATTCAGATTTGATCGTGTGTCAACAAGTAACCTATTGGATTTTTTTTTCTTTGGATTAACAACACTGACACGTAGATCGATAGAGATAGAAAAAAAAGGTAAGAACTTTTTGAAAGTAAACACAATCGCTGCGGATTGCAAATATCAATCCATTTTTTATTATAAACTCATGACATTTTGCAATGGATTTTTTGCTCGGGGAAATAGATTTTATATATGGACAAAAAATCGGTTCTTCTAAAAATCGCTACGAAGTTTGAAATTCACCTATAAATTCTCTGTGGCAAATTTGTTTCATCGATCAAAAAAATTTTTTTATCGGAATTGAAAATATTCCCTCAAAAAATGTTCGCCTCCAGTAGAGGCCATCTACTTAGAAAAAATCTCTTCTCATTGGCAAGTTACCAATTCTTTTTTTATTCGACGTTTTTCCCAAATTTTGCAGAAAAGTCGTGTTTTTTTCTTCGAAATCGGCGACACTAACATTATCTTTAGAAATAAGTTATTTATTTCAAATATTAAAGGCTAAAGCAGTCTTATACTTGATGCAAGAACCGATTGAGCGTAAATGATTCACTTGCGGCATCTTAAATTTGAAGCAAAAATAAATTCGTATTGTGAGTACCAATTTGTATTAGAAGAACAAATTATGAATGGTCCGAATGTTTTGAAGTGCCAGTGTCCAATTTCCTTTGCCAGAACCGAAACAAGAGTGACATGATCGATGTTTTTGCTAAAAAAAAATCTCATTTATCCAAAAATGGTAAAACTGTTAAAAAAAATTTACAGCACAAATACATCTTCATTTCAGCTTTTCAAAACTTTGCAATTATCTAGTGCTAATTCTATTCAAACCCGCATCTATTCACCAGCAAAACAAAAGAATTATCTGAAATAAGTCAAAAATTCATGAACTTGTTTAAATATGTCCATTGTTCTGCACGCCAGAAATTGTTTCGTTCAATTCTGTGAAAAATTCTACGAAAACAAATTTTCGGGGCCAAAGACCGATCGTAGTTGGAAAACATTTTTTTTCTTCTTGTTGTTGATTGCCGCAGACAAAAATTAAAGACAATTAAAATTCCATTGAGAGACGATGGTCGTTGTTGTCGTCGTCATCGTCATCAAGTGTTGATCGGTGTCTGTATGCCGTAGTATGTGTGTTTATATAGATCAGAATGTAATTTTGTTCCAATATACACTCATACATACATAGAGTATGTTACATACACGTTACTTCTGGTAGAATCCCCGACCGACATCGGTGATCGTTTGTGCCGCAATTGCCACATACACAGATAAAGGCGAAGCGTAAGTGTTCTGATTGCGGTGGTGGTTAGCGGCCGTTCGCTTAACGTAAGTCTCTCGGCAGCCATTTTGGTATATTGTTTCTCTTCATAAGCGACGATATGCTTTGTAATCATATGAAGAGCGAAAGAGAGAGAGAGCTCACGCGGAGTTTGTTTCCCAGCTCCAGTTTCATGTTGTTTTTTGAGTCATTTTTTTGCGAAAGAGGGTTATCAAATCCATTGTTTATTGACGCTTATAGCGGGATCATGTGAATATTTTTTGGTTCATCGTGGTACACAAAACAATTCAATTCTAGAATTGTTGCATACGTGAAATTAGGTTGCGCAAACGAACGATGAGAGAGAGAGAAGACATTTATTTATAAACAATTGTATAGCACGTATACACTCAGTTTCACTTGCTTATGAGACTAATTGAATTCACCTTGCGACAATGCAATTAATTGCACTTTTTGACCCGATCGAGGCGATTCGAGGCGAATGGCGAGTTTTTTTTTGGTGGCAGTTTGGATGATGAAAAAAAAAGAAAGATCGGGAAAAGTAGAAGAGAATAATGAAAAGGAATGAGGGAAAAAGCGATGGAAAAGACCCAGAAAGAGAGAGAGAGAGAAAACAGAAAGGAAGAGACAGAGAACGAAAAATCGACTGTGAAAGATGGCGAGAAAAGAATCCATTAAAAACTAAAGAGTGTCTCTCGTTACCATAAGAATGTCATTTGTATGTTCATAAGTTTGAAAATGGTCTCTGTCCCTCTTTCACATATATCAGAATGGAATGCAAAGTGAAAACGATCCGACGTAAAAGAGGTCATTCGAATCGGTATGCACAAACGACAAAATATATTCGAACCTCTAGTTAATTGGTCAGGCAACATAATCATCATTCATACAGCAGTCACATTTCTACAGTCCGTGTACGTGGCTCGGCCACAGGTGTATTGGCTGACATAATTTCAAAAATACTTCGAATGGATTTTATCTTCTTTGATTTAAAGACGAACTGAAAAAAAAATACCTTTTATTCCGATTTAAAAGAACGAGTTCTTTTTCATGTAGCGACCGTGTATTTTAGTTTGGAAATTCGTCTTCTACCATTTGTGGATTTTGGTAAGATCAAAGCTTAAAATGGTTTAATGTCGTCAAATCCATCGAAAAATTCAGATGTTTAAATGCATGTTGCCAACATTCCACTCGGCACTCCTTTGGAATTCTTTCTCTCTCTCTCTTCTGCGTTGCTAATGAATATGCGACAAACACACGTTGCTGAATAAAACGACAAACCAATTTTAAAAACAAGTTGATTGTTTACTCCAAGTCCACGTAGTTGTGGCTGGTTTTACACACGGCTCTCATATTATGTGAATTCCGTGTTGTTTCGAATGTGATTCTTGTTTTTCGAGATTGTTTCACTCGACACATTCGTACAGATGATGGTTTTTAACAACCGCAGCCAATCGACCGATCGATCTGGAATGACAGTGTTTTCAGTGGTCTTGATACATCCAAAGTGTCTAACAACCGTTTGACGTACGGTGTCTGATCTAATCACGTTATTTATGCACACATCGATCTCAAAATAAAACTCGATTATTACCACCCGTTCAAATGGACCTGGTTTTGTTGATTCTCTTGCAATTTTGCAATCACACAAACTGCGGCTGCACCAACCGGTCTTCAAATACAATTCATTACGGTTTCTATCTCTCTTCTCTCTTTCTCTCTCGTTCAAGAATACCAACTGAAATTAAAATTGATGGAATTTTTCCCAATTTGCACGGATTATGTAAACCAATTCGAACGAAAGAAATCATGATTTACCGAACTGACGCAATTGAAATGTGAAAAATGCATAAACCCCAACAAACAGTGTACTGTGCTCATTTTTCTCTCGATCTTTCCGATAGTTGACAGTTTTATTGCATTTTAACCGTCAAATTGCGGTATGGATTTTAAATTAATGCACCTTTTTTACAGCAAACAAATTCACAACGTGTTAACCAACGATGATGAATGGCGTAATTTGCAATAATAATCAACAAGCAGAAAAAACAAACTGCATTCTTTGAGGTATATGGTAAACAAAACACTTAAAGAAGAAAATCGAGCTGCCGGTTTTTATGGGCTACAACAGTTGTTTTTGAATGAATGTGATGTTTTTCGAAATGGATTTATTCAATTTTTATGATGGATTTCATCGACTTTCATTGATCGATCGAACAATCTCATTCACCATTTTTGCACAGGTTTTTTGCACGTCCCACACAAAATGTGGCTCTTATCTTGTGAAGAGGCTTCGTTCTGATGAATCGTCTCTAATGAGGTGGCTTCTGTTTTTGAAACATTTAATTGGAGTGATAAACAGTTTTTACAGTTTGGTTTTTTTCAATTCAATTCCACTATTTTATGAATTTTCATATCAATCGATCGTAAAATTCATTGTTTACTGATACAAATCGAAAAAAACACACTGCAAACACATAAAAATCGGCTTTAAATACGCAAAAAAGGCACTAACATACAAAAATGCTTATAAATACACCAATACAATATCTTTCAATACGCAAAAAATGGGATTAACACGCAAAAATCTTTGTTTTTTGAATAAAATTTATTCAAAATTCGACAGAGAAGCGAAAGAATAATGTAGACGAAGTCGAGACTTTTCATGGATGTCACAAAGACATTTTTCGTGTTTCAAAACAAAATTCTTAAGCAGTATCGTCATGAGTGTGGTTTTTAGTCACCAAAAAATGTGTATGATTCGGCCGAGAATTACGTATTCACGTGGAGTGGTTAGTTAATTAAATGCGCAATATTCTAGCACCAATGACACTGTGCACACAATAGTTCACACCAAATCGATCGATGAGCATTTTATCAATATAGAGACAATGGGTTTATTACACGGCCATTAGTATATTGAGAGGCCATATAATCTTGTATCATCTCTCTATCACTATTGTCAGAGGTAGTCATAAAATTTTTATTCGAACACATTCAAATTATATCGATAACACTCGACCCAGACGTTGTGGATCCGATGGTTTTTACAGTTTTGGACAGAGGTTTTCGACCCTCATGAATCCCGTCGACATGGTGGCTGAGGTCTTTCCGGACTCAACTGAAAAAAGAAGATTTTTTTCTTCCAAAAATTGAGTAATTTCCTCTAATCGATCAAAAACCTTCAAAAGTGTTGATACTTCTACAACGGCGATGACTGAAACTCATTCAAAATCAATGCAAAACCTCTCCGCCACCGTTTAAAAATGGTTTGACTGTATGTTCTATGCCATAGACGCGAAATTCAATTTACAAATACAAGAAGCATGCTGAAAGAGCGATCGGGTGTATATATGTTTGTGTGATTCGTTGTTCTCTCGCTTGCGGATGGTATGAAGTAAACCTAACGGTATGACAATCGTTCTTTCTTCTCTCTTTATGTACCTTTTTATTTCCACACAGTCAGATTAACGTTTATTATTATGTAGTTATCGTTTTCTTTGCTGGTTTTTTTTGCCTTTCTTTCTGTCTCATTTGTTCCGTCCGTACTCTTAAGCGGAAAGCGCCCGCATTGCGTACACGCCTATTGTGTTGGATTGAAAGAGAACGAATTATTTTAAAATAAATATTGTTACAATAACAATTTGTTGTGGAAGATAGAAGAAAAAAGATCCGCAAACAATCATCAAGTTCCAGCCAGCCAGAATAGTATGTTTTACAAAATATGGTGCGTGTTTCAAGATCATAAATGTTGAAGAAAAAATTAGTCAACTTTTTCTTGCCGCAAAT